GAGAGGAAAAGGCGCCGCCGACGACGACGGCAAAACCCGGTAGGTAGACGAGAGAAGCGGAGAAAGTGAGAAAGAGACACGCGCACGGCGCAATATCCTAATAGTAGGGGACGTACACTGGGCGTTATAAATATCCGCTCGTTTCGCCGGATGACGTTTCGTTGACGGAATATCCGAGGACTGGCCGCGAGGATTAAGGAAGGAAGACAAAGCTCGTGAGGGAAGAGAGACTGCGATACAATTAGCGTTGACGGCGTATTTCCTCGGCGTTTTACCGCACAACGCGTCGCGTCGCGGAGCAGACCTGTGACGCGCGTCACGTGGGACAAATTAATAAAAAAAGAAAAAGACCGCGCTATCGGACCTTTTTATCGCGCGCATCGAACGGTCTCTCTCTCTCTCTCTCTCTCTCTCTCTTTCTCTCTTTCTTGTACGCCTTTATTACATTTATTGTAAATATCCGAACGCGATACGCTCCTTCGGGAGACGCTCGGCGAGCGGAGAGGCGGGCATTTATGACTCCCAGTGTGCGGATCACCGAGGGAAATAACGACAGCAACGTGGAGCACGGTAGCGGCGCGAGCGAGGGAGGAGGACGCACGCGTTATCGACCGCTCGAGACCGAGCGGGGGCGAGCGCGAACGCGAACACGAAGGACGTACGTATACGTGGGGGGGCACACCACGTGACGCGAGAGCGAACGAGTACGCCGCGCGGGAAATATACGAAGGGACGAGAAGAGCGACCCTTTCCGCGTCCTCCTCTCCTCGCCCTTCGCGGCCGATTTTCTCTCTGTCTCTCTTCCTCAGTGGAAGCTCGCGATAACGTACACCGTGCGCGCGTTCCGCATTCGCTACCTACGGACCCTTCCTCTCGCCTTATGCCAGCCACCCTCTCCTTCCGCCCTTGCCCTTCGCTCCTCCTTCGCCCTTGTCGCCCTTTATGCGCGGCTGTAATCCGTAACAGGGCATCCCGCGCGCGCGATACGAGAGATCGCCCTACCTTCTTCCCCCCTTCCTTACCCCGCGAGATATCGAACTGCGGGGCTGCGCGACGCGGGGGAGAATTGTGAATGTTCGAGGAAAGGGTCGGCCAACTTAATGTAGTTTCTGGGTAGATTGGAAGGCTTAGACTCCCCCGCTTAGCCGCTCCTTGCAATTTCAAATTATGACACCCGCTCGGGGGAAGCTGCGTCGGCGAATTTCTCTCGGCTCGGGGAGAACGGGATATACTTAAAAATAATATCGATGTTTGGCTCCCGGGGTCGTGTACTCGTGCATCATCGAATAATATCGGCAAAAACCGTGGGGAGGCGAAGTTATATGCTCCGGCGTTTTCTCGCTTACGACGCTCTCGAATCTCTTTGTATCTCTTGTCGATCGTAAGGAAATTTCTTCTCCGCGAGACGCGCGTGAAGATCGTCTGAAGCCAAGAGCGCGAAAGGAATTCCATTGAGGGGAGCGCGTTGTCGCTAATGATGTACATATTACTCAAAGCGTATACAGACTATCTAAATATACTTGCATTTTAATTAAAATACGCTGTGTACGATCACTATCATGTGAGAAAGACACTCACAAGCATATTGCTGAAATCTTTCCTTCTTCTCTAGACGTTCTTCCATTTCTTTCGTTTATTTTCATTATTTATTTTTTTTATTATATATATATATTTTTTTTTTTTAGAAAACTTTGAAATACGAAACTTCACAGAGTACGATGCAATAAATATATACTGGATGTCGATACGTTTCCGCTGTCTTAATTGCCTCCCGTCCGGTTCTCACTCCATTATCCTTATTACTTCTCGAGGAATATCCTCCGTATATTACGGTATACTACTCGCAGTATTAATGTAACTACGACGGCAGCCGCTTCGCGCACGCTTGTTGCTGCAAAGTCCCTGGAGAAATATGTTCTCGGTGCGTCTTGTTCGCCGGTATTATCGAGCGGGACCATTACCTTCTTCTTTTCTACAGTGCGATAATTACATCGCTTACATTAGTCAACGTGAAATACGACTGTACACGTACAAATCGAGTGAGAAGATCGCGCTTAATCATTTTGTATATTTTGTATATTTCTCCAGCAATTTACATCTTAACGAAACATTTTTCTCAAAATAATCTTCTTAATTTAGGCTTTCGTCGCGTCTCGCAAACGTATGTAATATTAATGATACAAGTGTGATAGAAGTTTTTTGAGAAACGGTACTCGCAGCGAGTAATGACTGACAAAGCACGTAACCGTCAGTCGCGGATTAACCTTCGTGTTTTTGCAGACCAGGTTGACTCGAAGGTATCGGATAAAGGCGGGTGTACCGACGTTGATTTTACTGGAGGGCTCGAACGGGTCTGTAGTGACGAGAGGGGGAGTTGAACGAACTGTCGCCGATTCCACCGGTGCGGAATTCCCTTGGAGACCTCCGCATCCAAAAGCTGCCCTTGAGGATGGACCTCTCTTACCGTGCGGTGGTCGAGACAGCAATGAACCGATGTTGCACGAGGAACTTCGTCACTGTTTCAAAGGAGTTTATTTCAGTGCACATTGGGTAAGCAGTGATGTTGAACGTGTATGTATATATATATATATATATATATATGTGTTAATCGTTTCACTAATTTCTGTGTGCAAGTAGCGCTGTGTTGTTGTAGGAAGTTTATCAGTCTCTCAGTTTATCAGAGTTCCTCAGTCAAAGCATTCAGATTAACTGATTAATTAATGTAAAATATTGTATCGTTCATCCTGCTAAAAATTGATCTGCAGCTATAATATATAAAGAAGGTTAATTCCAAAGAAATATGAATAAGATCGTGACTTCAACGTTATAATTGTAAAAACATTAAAAAAAATAATACATATGAATGAATGACGTTAATACGTTGATATTGATACAATTCATGTAACTGATATAATAATATCGATTTGTTAATAGCATTAAGCCAATAATACCAATATTACCGAATTAATATTAATGCAAATTGTGCGCATCTCTCATTACGGATATTATTACGGATATTAATACGAAGATTAATTAGCAAACACGTAATTGAATGGAGACTATTTTTAAGATCGTGTTGTTTGTATATTCAGTGCCCACCCTGTAAAGCGTTTACACCGCAACTCGTGGATACGTATCAGCGAATCCGGGAGAGAGGTCACGATTTTGAAGTAATCTTCGTGAGTTCGGACAGGTGGGTTTGTCACTTTAACCGTTTAATGCGATTCACGGCAGACGTTTATCCTTCGAACTCCCAAATTGTCCAAGACATTATTTCCAGACATTTGTCTCTCGTATATGCGACGATTAATTTCTCTCTGCGTACTTATTACTATACCACATTCCTTTTGTTTCCGTTGCATTTCTTTTATAAAGAGCTTCAATTGTGCGTTTTTATTCTAGGAGCGAGGATTCTTACAATGCGTACACGGAGACAATGCCTTGGTTGAGGATACCTTTTAGCCAAGAAGAGAGACGTCGGAAATTGGCAAGGGCTCTCGACGTTCAAGCAATACCGACTCTGGTTATTCTGGATCCTCGCGACAACATAATCACTCTAGATGGACGCACTGAGCTGATTGAAGATCCGGAGGGGCTGGTAATGTGGACAACTTTCCATTTAAGACGATTAAAATAACGAAACAATTAAAATAATAATCACAGTTTAAATGAAAGCCGTTATTCCATATATAGTAACGTATCTTTGTTTTTAAGCCCTTATTATCAGCACGAAATGTGCTGTCTTATATCTTATACAAACTTGCTGAATTTTCTCAGAATTTTCCCTGGACAAGCAGACTGGTGAATATTTTAACAGAAAAATATGCTACATCGTTACACGATGCACCAGCCATTATCTTGTTTGTTGGTAAGAATATAAGAAAAAAGAAATTTCAATCAATACTTTCGAATTATGTTCATGTCTATTGATAACACCAAGTTGCTCTCTACCTATATCTCACAGAAGGAGAAGACTGTGAGATTCAATTCGGGGAAAGCGTATTACTGCCAACCGCACAAGCGTACAGAAGGGACCGGCCAGATTATGATCCAAACTATGATGATCCTGACGACGATACATTGCAATTTTATATAGCTTTAGATGTAAGTACATATACACACACACACACACACACACACATACATGTTAAATTAAACATACATAATAATTATTCTCAGGGACAAAAATAGGTATAAATATGTAAAAACATATGTATTGTGAGTATAAAATGTTCATAAAGCATACCTAATGTACTTCTTTCCGTACAGTGTGAAACGTCTGATATTCTTCGTGAATTCATTGGTCTGGATGACGCGGTACCTCTTTTGACCGCTATCGACATTCCGCGAGGGATTTACGTGGTGATGGAGTATGGCGCTGAGATTACTGTGGATTCCGTACAACAGTTCGTCGATGGGTTTCTCAATAACAAATTGCCGACAAATAAAATAGCGGCAGTGCGCAAAACATCAAAAACCGAACATGTGCCGGCCTAAAAAGCCACATACGAGATACATTAATTAAATATTTCTACTCGTCAGATTTTTATAAGAGAAGGAGTTGCTCGAGTGTCAGATAAAAACAAATCCCTCTCCTCCTTTTTTTACTCCTGTCTCTGTGATATCGTCGCTCTTTTCGTAGAGAGAACTCCGTGCGTAAATCGTACTCGGTCTGGCATAATCTTCTGCGGATATAACCAAAAGATGTATGTATTATACCATAGCCAAAAATAAAACGATCAAATTGTATTTTTTAGTGTACACACGCACACGAATACGTTAATATATTATATATTACTTAATAAATGCCGAGTGGGCGCACTTTGAATGTTCTTATGTTTATGAAATAGCCTGTTCATCGTTGTAATTTGTAAGTCGCATTTTGATGATTATGTGTTACAAGTATTCAAAGATTCGATACAATATCTATACATATAATTGTAGACAAATTAATTACTCTATACATTTACGAGTAAAGTATAAGCAAAATATTAAATAATTGTCAAGTAGCGCAAATATAATGATTTTATTAATATCTCTTTTTATCGGTTTTCGTTGAGTTCATTTCTATAAAATTACTTAATCTATCATATCTCTCTTAAATTACTAATCTAAATGTTGCTGGAACAAAAGTGATCTTTTTATACCTTATCTTACTGTTTTGTATACCTTATTATAAGCCTTCCCTATACAACATATTATATTCCTACCTACGAAATCGCAGATTCACGTATATCGATCTTATAGTTATATATTAAATATTTTACAATTATAAAGCTATTACGTCGCTAATTAAAAAATGTACAGAAGTTGCATTTTTTTTAAAAAAAGGCACCGTATGTCATGAGCAATAAAGTTGCATTGGATTGTATTAATAGTCGCGCTAGCTAAAAATGTGATTAATGAGACTGTCGCAACGTTTCCTTTTAAATGATTGTGTGTATGTTTATGACGTTCATCACGCAAGGAGTGCAGCTAGAGCATCAAGAAACTTGGTCCTTTCCTCGACTTTCAGTCTTATTACTACAAAAGAACATAATGTTATAATAAGTTCTATTTAATACTTACATATAACTCAAAAGTTAAAATTCAAACTTGCTTGTACTATCGAAGTAATCTGCCTCTATGTAACAATTTTTATTTTTTGCGGCTTGCTCAAACGCTCTCCCAAATAAACTGTAATAAATCTATTGTTAACTTTTAGAAACAAAAATTATATTTTGTTTATACTTTTAAATATTACCTCTTGGGTTGATCTTCGCAAACTGGCGGTATACCGACAAGGAGACACGAACCTTCTTCCGCATTGAACATTGCGGAAGCCACGAGGGGCCATTCGGGCGCGTGTCTGTTTCTCGAACAATTTACATATGCCTTGAGAGCAAATTGAGCCAACATGATCAGAGGATGGGGATGTGCGAATAAATAAGTGTCTATATTCCTGTCTGGTACATTAAGATACAAAAAGGAACCGAAGTTCTGTACTTGCTTAGCCTCCAGTATGCTCTGCGCAGTTTTAAAGATATTATGAAGCATCAGTTTTGCTTTCTCTATACCATCCTCTACAGTATCCTTATTAGTACGCGACAGACAGTCCAGTGTATCTAAGAAACAACGTTGTGGTTGTCTGTCCTTCGTCTGTAAAAACATGATATGTATGAACCAAAAAAAGAGAAGAAATCAAATTACAACAAATAGTAATATATTCAACCGTGCAGTTTACCGTGGAATCCAGTAAAGCTAACATCGCATATACCATGTCCGAGGCAGAATATTTGAAACGATAGCCATATTGAAGGGTAAAACTACTGCCAATGATACTATTTACGTTATATTTGCCGGCCAATTTTTCGACCATCTGCTTAAACTCCTGTCTAAAAGTAAGATCCATTGCACGAAACAATTGTCTAGATTGCACTAAAGGCAAACCCATTTCAGCTAAAACTTCTCTCAAACGCTGTTCCCCTCTAATCGACCAAAGACGTAACGACACTGCAGTTGGCATTGAATATTTTAAGCTAGCTTCAACAGTCCAATGACGATACAGCGCTAGTTGGAGACTGTTTTACATCATTAAGAAACTATATTTATAAACATAATACAAAAATAAAATTAAATAAATAAAATAACAAAAATAAAGAGAAATTTCTTCATGTGTTGTAAAGAGCTTGCAGATTAAGAAAACTAACATTATATAAAAAAATAAAAATGTAAAAGGATACTCTTTGTCGTAAGTAACTTTAACAATACTCTGCTGCTGTTGTTTGTTAATATCAGCGCCTTGTCTACGTGTTAGCCTTGAAACATGAGCTTGAAGAGAACCCTCTTCAAGAACAGTGATTCGTGACTCTACCTTACTAAGGATAGACTGTTCCGTTGAACCAACTATGGCCCACCATGCCATATCTAGATTATCTTTCGACATATTCCAAGCCATTTCAAAAACCAGTATCGCACTCTGTAATAAAATGTATGTAAGTTTCCAAAAGATATTATTTCCACATATTATTGGAGTTTTCAGTCAAGATCCATACTGATTTGCCATAATAGCTGTACTGTGAATAATTAAAAAGAATTGTTGCTCTATTTTCAATCCATTTTCTTCGTTCACTTCGCCTTAAAATATCTTCTTCATTTAATCTTCGTCTTTTGCTCTGTCCACTTTCATTTTCATTGTCTGATCCTTCATCTGTATCTTCCTCATCTGTCTGCATATTAAATGGAATTAAATGGAATTATAAAAGAAATAGTTGTGACTATTAAAGAACAACTATTTATTATCATTAAAATATATCATTTACAAGCATATCGCAAATATTACATACACTATCATCTCGGAATATATCATTATATTCTGGGATTTCATTTTCTTCATCAGGTTTACCAAGAATACATGTCTGATTTTCTGAATAGATATTGCATAAATCATAAGGCCTATGACTGTCAAGAATAAAAAATACCACAGATTCATCTGGTTGGAGTAATTCTACTAAATCTAAAGTACCACCACAATTTATCATGATAACATTCCTTATCTAAAACATAATTATCAATTATACATAGTATATGATGGGGCAAATATAATTTAAAGAATCTTATGCCATTACCTCTTCGCAGTTTTCTTCGAAAGCATTGATCATATCTTGAATGCCTCGGACAGGTACAAGAGTATATATCACGTGATCATTTTTAAAAAGTTGTTGTAATATTCTACAGGCACAGATTGCATCAATATCAAAGTTTACCAGAAGTAAACATCTCTGAATAATAGAAAAAAGCAGTTTAAAGAGAAATATTCAAGCTATAGTTTTAAGTGTTAAAATAGAATATATAATAAGAGTAAACTTGATAGATACATACTACTGATGTGTGTACTTTTTGTAATATATATCAAATTATACTATATCTTATTTGTGTATATTGTCATTATTATATATTCTTATTACACGCTGCTTTTTATTATCAAGTGAGAAAGAGTAATTGATTTAATTCAGCAAAATGATCCAAGAGACAATAGTCACATACAACAATAATTTACATAGAAATAGATGACCGTCGAGATTCAACAGATGCTGTGATTGTAACATTGCAAAAACAATTCAACATAAATGTCAATATAGAGTTCAAAATTGAGTTGTAACTTTACGTAGAATTGCAAAAAAGCGGAGTTGAAGGAAATAAAATCTTAAGACGAAACGAATGTGTACAAGCACATGGTAACCTATAATTGAAAGACGTGAATATATTGTGGTACGATAAAACGAAGCACAGACTTACGCTTCTTTGTATCACATCGTAGAAATCCTTCTCTAGATTCGTCACAAACATGTTGCGATCGTTCACGACGCGCGAAACATTGCAGATTTACGACGGCTTTGTAGCTTGGCTTAGGCATGAGCGACTTAGCGCGAAAATCCAAACCGTCGGTCACGAGGCGCACCGTCGCAGCAACAGCGTCATCGTGCTGACACCCGACACGTTACCTTACGCATGGCTATTCCTAAATTCAGCACGTTAACGTGATATGACTGAAATTTTCGAATTCACGCATATTACCTGTACGCGGATTTTACAAACGATACTGAAAACAAAACTCAGACGACAGAGAGAAAGTGAGTGCAGTTTTTCATAACAATTTGTAAACAGTGACAATCGATTACCATTGTAGTGGTGGATCGAGATTAATCGAATCGCAATAACAAAGATACTCGAAACAGATCTTTATCTTTTCAATGTGTGTGCTTAGGATTGATGATTTCTTTAATTATGTCATTTTTTTAATTATGTCCACATACGCGCGCACACGTGTACATAAACACACACACACACACACACACACACACACATACACAACATTGGTAAATTAATAATTATCGTCGAGTAATATGTTATGTATACGCAAGTAACATGTTTTCGATAGCAATTATACACCGAAGATCGTTGCAAGTTTGTTAAAGAGTATAATATCCACTCTCATAATTATGTTTTTATTTTTTTTCTTATATTCCGTTGAATTGCTATATTTTTTGTAATGTTATCTATTTGAGTTCGCTGTATCACCACAAGATAATATTCGAGTGACATTACTGGATTACATCTAAAGATCAATTGATTAGAGTGGCGCGCAATTTCAAGCAAGAATGACAGAATATATATAATTCTTCATGGCGGTGTGTTATCACCTCTGTATCGGTGTGTTACTAGCGGCCGACAAAATTTCTATAAAGGAATCGTACGTAAATTGATTCAATTCGTTTAATCAACCGCTGCTCTACACGCAAAATGGAATTAATCAGAAATGTATGGAGAAAGTCTACTTTTTTATACAAGAGCGGTGTACAAGCGTCGCTGAGACACAGGTACGCGTTTAAATCCCCACCTAACCTCAAACTACGTTATGTCTCGCAGTAAAATTATCACTTTATCGTTGAATAATGGAGAAAAACATCATGTTATGCATTATGCAATGGAAATTTATACAAAAATCATATAATCGTTGATTTATTAATGATGATATTGTCGTAGTGGCAGCACTACATCAAATGTAGCCGAGGTAGCGGTGTTTTCTCGAGATGGTGATTCCGGCTTGACTATCACGGATGCCGGAGACACAAAGCCAAAGGATGATATAATTTTTAATGCTCTTGGAGCAACCGACGAATTGTCCTCTTATATAGGACTAGCGAGAGAATTTGCATGCGATGGAAAGATTGAACATCCATATGTCGATAAACTCAAAAGAGTACAAATGATTTTGTTTGATCTGAATCATGCCATATCAAAGTCTGTACCTGGGAAAACCAGATCCTTTGAAAGCAAGCATACCAAAGATCTTGAAGAATGGATTCTCGAATATGCAAATCAACTACCACCTCCAGAGGATTATATCATTCCAGTAATTACCTAAATATCAAAGCAGTTTTATGTAATTCTTTTTGGTCTATGCTGGTACTATTTGATACTTTTATATTAGGGTGGTGGGAAAGCATGTGCCTCCTTGCACGTCGCACGAACGGTATGTAGACGTGCGGAAAGAAGTATCACAACTCTGGTGCGAGACGGTGCTCTAGATAAAGAGGCGCAAACGTATTTGAACAGATTATCAGACTTCCTTCTAACAGTATCACGTATTGCAGCCAAATGTGACCAACGCACGGAAAATATATATATTCCGCGGGCAGAAGTAACCGAGGAAAAATAAAAGGACTGATTTAGAGAATTTTGTAGGGTACACTTTTGCCTTTAGAAGTATAATCAATAACCATGTACACAAATACAAATAACTGTAATGTAACTGGGTGTCCTAATATATAATATAATGAATTATCTCTGAGCTAATATCTGCCTATATATGTTTTATGCCCATCAGACATAAGACATAACTATGGTTTGCTATTTTGCCAAATTAATTAATATACCTATGAAAATATCACAAATCTATAGATATATAGCATATTATGTTCTTTTATTTGACAATATTTTCAAACAAACATTAAGATTAGAGGGAAAAAATATATTAAGATGCTCAATTGTATCCTGATGAAAATAATTGTTAATTTTATCAATAACAGCAGTATTTTATATATACAGGAAAGAGATACTGTTGTATGTAGATAACATAAGTAAGAAATTGTAAATATAAATACAAATTATATACATTAGTAGACATGATGTTGATATTATTTATATACCAATAGTTAATACTGAATTAATATTAAAACTTTAGAGAATTTTATGCGACCACATTCATAATTATTTCGAAATTAACAGTGTACTATACACAATGTGTGTATATCTTGAGATTTGGTGTGTATCATTAATGTTTATTACAATAATAAAATAATGAAATAATCTATACCTTGCCAAATATTGTATACAAAATAAGATTTAATGAGAAATGACATCCTTAGTGAAATGATAAAACATAGCAGGAACTATATCATTTATACACAACAGAATCTTTTGGTCAACGTGTATTAAAATATATTTAATAAATAAGAATATATAGATATTATATAACTCCCCCATATGATTAACAAATATTTAATAACAATCCAAATAAACTATAATTTATTCTAGGACTTCATCTCCTTCCTCTATTTCTTTTAAACAAAGTAATTCTAACAATGCAGAGCCTTTTGTCTCTGATCGTACCAATTCATCGAGCTGTTTAAATTGACCTGGATCAATCAAGCAAGTAATTGTTAATACTCCATTGTCCCATTCCTCTGCTTCTGTGTTAGAAATTAATTTAATCACTTTGTCTCTCAATTTCTTTGCTTCTCTCCTCTGGATGACAATTTTGAGCCTCATTTGAGCACGTTCTATTGGCATCACTTCTTTCAGTAGTGTAAAGACTTCCCGTGCTTGTTGCTTAGAATTTCGATTTGGCTTAACAGAAAAATGTATTTGATCCTTCATAGAACTTTCGATCATAGAAACTGGATATGGGCGCTTTGTCTCTGGATTTATACACATGCTAGCAACTGCAGTGGCAATATCTTTGAACATGGAGTCTAATGCCATGTGTCTTTCTCTGTCAGAGACTTGAAGTTCTCCTTTTTCAAGTATCTGTTTACATACTTCAGTCTGATCATCATTGCCGAAAGCTTTTATGAGGTCTTCTTTTTTAGCTACTTGGCCTTTTGATACATTAGCAAATACTGTATGCGTTTGTAGTACTTCATCAATGTCTCTCTCTCTAAAATATGAGAATAAGAGATATATGTTATGGTGTATATCGTATACAATGCAATTACTTATACAATATATTAAAATACAAATTTCACGAAAATACATTTATATAAATGTGCAAAATTTGTAAATCTAGCTTATATATAGGTTAGGTATGAAAAATCTTCCGCGCACAATTTGCTCGCCGCCAATATGTAAAAATTTATAATTAATAATCAAACAATTAGACTTACAATTTGTTCCTCCAGGAAACCACTTTGTTCTTATAACAAGCGATTTCGAATCGCTTGCCACTTTTTTTCATACGAACAACAGCAACGTTCGTTAACCTTATTTGATTAGTTGGTGTAAATATTTTTGACATTTTTGCGATAACCACAAAATCGGCATACCACAACAAATAAATCAATTATTTACAAATAATAATTAAGTAATAAGTAGAAATAAAAGATAAATCTTCTGTTCTTTCTGCTTTCTTTTTTCGTTTTACAGTGAGACAGATTGCACCATGTTGCTACATAAACAGTAAACTTGAAACTGCTTGGAACCGATGATAGGTCGTGTGGATTGGACAATGATTGTCTAATAAATTGATATTTGTTTCTAGTTTGAAAAACCGGTAATCTTATTACTTTCAGTTTTAATTAATTCTTATGATTCTGATGATAAAACTTTATTTTCATGTTATTCAATTTTATCGTTATTTTATTATTATTCAATTATATTGTTACCAGATACAAATTCATTTGATCTGTCGTTGAATCGTATTATTTAAAAATGAATGTCTTTTCTAACCTGCTGTTGAGTCATACAATTTAAAATTAAAACAATTATTTAATTTTCTAGAATGCCTTTAAAAGTGGTAAAACTTGAAAATATAAAATATGTTCACTTATTATTGAGTCATACTTGATTATGATTTTTCCGAATGGTGGCGGCTCATAACGGAGAATTTGGAACTAATGAAATCGTAAATGGTCCAATTGTAATGGGCTGCTAATATTGTTAAATTCTATTTAGTCGACATTCAAGCTATTTAGCAAAGATTCCGACTTCTTTAAATCTAATGTCATTAGCAAGATAATTCAACCGTTGGCTAGATAATTAAACCTAATTAAACCGTTAATAAGCACAAGATAAATTATCAGTCTTATTAAATTTTAGTGTTGAGTAATCACGCTAGATGGTGCTAGATAATCTAATAGGCCGGTATTCATAGGCTGTGTTCCAAAATTCACTGCCAGTACTGAAAATATATAGTTTGTGTCACGCAAACTATAACTTTTCAGCGCTGGCAGTGAATTTTGGAACACAGCCATAGTCCAATCTTATATTTCAGATATCCTGCAACCAATGAAGTAATTTGCACAGTATCTGAAGATAAACTTAAGACGATCTTAAATATAAGATCCGACTGTGGCTGCGTTCCAAAATTCACTGCCAGTACTGAAAATAGTATACGTGGCACAAACTATGTATTTTCAGTACTGGCAGTGAATTTCGGAACGCAGCCTACGACCGACGAATACCGGCCTTAGATATGCTTTATAGTTTGCGAGTGCTATTCATCTGTGGCGTAGTTTTAAAGTTTCCGCTAAGAGTCGCCACCGTTCTTACTGACAAATTAAGATTGTAATAGCAGTTCAAAGACAGGTCAATCGAATCTGTACTTTTCAAAACGATAATCTGAATCAGTAGTAAGTCAGTGTTTTTCAAGCTATACGATTCTGCGACAGATTAAACTACTTGTTCACCCTTAAGATACGACGACTTAAACAGCTGATAAGACAATGTCTTATATTCAAGAGCTATGACTCAACAATGAGTCGACCCACACCTGATAAACCAGATAAATCTTCATTTACCGCGTGAGTGTAAGAAATGTGTAACTAAATTCTGCTTTTATTCTCCGTAACTAAATGTGTTCGAATTTGCAGGCACAAAGATTCAAAAGTACTTTCAAGTAGACTTTTAAGACTTTAATACTTCTCCAAGTATATACTTCGGATTGCGTTGATTTTTAAAGTCGATGTAAAAATCGATGTTCGTTATCGATTGTTATTCGAGACTCGCCATCGACGATCGCGTATGAAACCGTCTACAATGGATGCGACAAACACCGTTTATCGGTGAGTCTCGATAAAAAATTGCGCAAAAGGAGTCAACGTGACACGGCTGTCGCCAGATTTTCACGCACATCCGGGAAAAATCGGCGAAAAACGCGAAACGTGAATTCGCGACAAAACACAGATTCACGCGCGTCTCGCGCGCGCCACAATGTCGAAGTAGTGGGGGCTCGTATGGCGCAGGGGCGCGTGCGCGGAGCGGCCGTCGGCGCGAGGCTGTATCCAACATGGCTGCCGCGAGCGTGATGCCGTCAAAGGTGCGCGAAAAATGACGGCTTTTCCGCGCTCCTGACGGCGCGATCGTACGTACGCGTGTGAAAACAGTGCCGAGCGAGCGTTGTGGCCCGGACATCGCGACGACCGAGCTGTGCCGCATCATCATGGCGTTGGTCACCGTGCAGCGTTCTCCGAGCGTGTCCAGTTCCCCTCAGAGTTCGGTGAGTTTTACGTTTCCTCCTCCTCCTCCTGTCTCTCACTCTCTCTCTCTCTCTCTCTCTCTCTCTCTCGCTCTCTTTCCCTTTGTCTCTCTCGTCGCGCGTATGTGCGTGTAATCCAGTGCGGATAGCCGAGCACGTTATCAGCGTGTTATCGGTCGCTTCAAACGCGGGCTACGTTGCCCGCCCTCGCGACTCGCTCGCCTGTGGCTCCATTCGGCCTGGCTCGACCGGCCGCTTGGCTCTACCTTATTTGGCGGCCGACTGACAACCGAGCGAGAAAGGGAATCGGGAGGATTCAAAGTTCTCCCCATAGCTGTCTATGTTCCGCCGCGAGGCAACGGCACGACATGGGGGGCCAGGCCGCGCTCGCCGGCGCGGAAAGCGCGCCGAAACAAAGAGGAGCTCGTAGCGTAAACAAACGTAGGCGGTAGGTAGGTCGGCTGATCGTTCGTTCGCTCGCGCACGGAATTTCGTGACTCCCCTCGCGTCAATGAATCGCCACCGCCTCGTCCTCGAGAGCGCGTCGCGATCGTGGTGATTCGCGTACCGAGCTGATTGCATTGTGTTGTACACGACTTTTTGTTTCTTCGCTAGGGCTTTCGCTTTCCGTTCACACGGTCGTCATTGACGGTTCTCTCATGTAGCTGAAGGAGATTTTTTTGTACTCGTATTGTTCGGGACAACAGCTGGCGTATTTTTACCTCGCGTCCGCGAGGAGAGTGCTCCCATACGATATCTCGCGGATTCTCCATCCCGCAGTGAGGGGAAGAAAGAGAGGAGAGAGAGAGAGAGAGAGGGAGAGGGAGATTTTTGGAGCGTCAAGTTTTTCTTTTGTCATGGCGCGCGAGCGGCGAAGATGATGAATGATCGCGCGCGCTTCCGTAGCGCTAATAATGGGCAACATGCGAATGATAATCTCGCGCTTTCGTTTCCTGAAGTAAGGGAATTGTGCAACGAACCAGTGACAGCCGCGCGAACGTTTCCTCGTCAGGGTCATTGCAACTGATTGGCTGTATCGATTGACCGGACTCTTATCGTTGTCGGCCGCGATAACGATATTTGATCACTTAATAGTGATTTAAATCTTCATTGCAATGTCATTACTGAAATAAAATCGCCATTGAATTCTCGAAAAATAATAAATCGAAAAATAATAAATATCACCGTACATTTACTTTATTTATTTCTTCATGTACAGAGGGGAGGGGGGAGATTAGAGTACCTTTCGATATACAAAAATGACAGAGAAATCAAATCAGAGAAGAAAGAATATAAACAGAATAATAACACATATATGCATGCGCATATTTATCAGTCATGAGATTATTACGCCGTAATCCTTTTGCAAAGTTCTTTTCGTAGAGTTATCGAGTCAGGTTGCGAGTAACGTTGATTGTTCTCTAATGCGCCCGTTGATATTTGCTCAACATTCCGCTTATTAATGTCAAAGACCACAATAACCAAGCCGACGCGTTCCGCATACCATCTCGCTCCGTTTCATGTAACCAGGGATTTCGGAAATTCCTCGTAAAGGTTCAAACAGAATGTCAAGCTGAAGATCTTCAACTCTTCAAGACCGTGCCGCTCTTGAGAGCCACCGTCGCGTCGCAGGATACCACCTATGCTGCGCACAGCGAGCAACAGTAAATCTCTCGTCGGCGGGCGGCGGCGGAGTAAATTTCCCGCGGGTTTATCTCGCGATCTATCCCCGGCGATGTGTGTGCGTCGAGCTACGTTCTACGCATCCATCATAGTCGGAGAAGTGGGCTAAAGCACGATACCCGCACTTGACCTTTATTCCCTCATCTCTCTCTCCGGGCGCTCCGCTCGCTCGGCGTCCATCGCACCCTTCGGACGGCTACCTTCGGCGGCGACCTTTCGTCCGCCTCCGAGAGGCGCACAGGGTCTTCTCCTTCACGCCTCAGGGGGTGACGATGACGTCGCGGAGCGTTGGCGCGACCCAAGCCGTGACCCGCCGCGGCGTGGCGTGGCGTGTCGTGTCGGTGCACGCACCGACACGTTCGCGCCGCCTGAGAGAGCAAGAGAGACAAGGCGCGACGGTGTATGTGTGTGTGTGTGTGCTCTCTCGCAGCCCTCCTCGACGTTTGCCGGCGTCGGCGGACTCAGTTGGTCCGCCGCCGCTCGGCACGACGGTGGCTCGTGAAGGTGATATATATTTGATGCGATCTACTCTCTCGTCCGTCGCGTCTCGTTGCCGCTCCGATCGCGAGTTCTTTTTCTCTCCCGAGCCCTCTCGCTGCCACGGACCGTTGGTGATGAACGCGATCGTCCTCGGCGGCGATGCGGACAATCGGACTTTCGGCGACGTCGAGGAGGGAGGATCGCTCGCGGGGTAATTGAGTCGGGTTATCAGTCGACCGCGCGCAGCCCGACGTCGAACCGTGGCGAGTTTGTGGGGCAGCATCCACTTATTGGATACGCATTAATTCTTGATGTGATGAACCGATGATTGATCGAAATTGACCGTTGACTGAGAAATTGCGCGTCTGACGCAGCGACAGTGTTCGCCGAATTGTTTGCTGGCCGCGGTCGCGATTTGCCTCCTGCGTCATTGTCGGTCGCGCGAGTGTTCGACTCGGTGAATTTGGACGCTGTCTCTCTCTCTCTCTCTCTCTCTCTCTCTCGGCTGCTGAGCGAGATACGAAGTAGCGAGTCGCGGGATTTAGATTCGTCGAGAGCGGGTGAACCGATGCGCCTCGGCCGAGGGGAGAATATCGCTCGATCGTCGGGACGGAAATCGTTCGACGGTTAAACCGAGCGCGCCTACGTGCATCCGTGGTCAGGATCCGTTTGTTGTCGGGTTCGATCAGATGTAACGAAA